TACTACTACTACTACTACTACTACTACTACTACTACTACTACTACTACTACTATTAGTTGTAGTAGTAATAATAATTGTAGTATAATGGTAATAACGATAATGATGATAATAGTAATAACAATAATAATAATAATAATAACAACAACAACAACAACAACAACAACAACATTAATAACAATAACAATAATAATAAAAACAACAACAATAATAATAACAATAACAATAATATTATTATACTACTCATCCTTTCCCCCACAGGCTTGTGTCCATGGCGATCGTGCGCGGCGTCGTGCCCTTTGACCCCGCCCACGAATGCACGGTCGACCTCCGGGACCTGATCCTCGGCCATATCGTGATCGTGTCGGTGAGCATTGTCCTGGAGACGGTCATCGCCATTGTGAGTACCCGGGGCAGCATCCTCACACAGTCCCCAAGGGCCAGCATAGAGTACCTGCTCTACGCCAGGCTAGGTGAGACCTTTGCTGGATACGTCAATGAAATGTTTTGTCTTGTTGTCCGGTAGAAGGAGGGGGGAAATGAAATGGAAGGAGTTTAACGGCCCCATCAACACTATAAGGAGGTTATTTAAGAAGCGGGACCTCCTAGTTTAACTTCGATCTCCGAAAGGACCGAGCCAAGCGGGGAATTCGAGAGAAATGCCTTTCCCAAGGACACCACGTACGTCGTGCCGGGCTGAGGCTTGAACCCTGAACCAGCAATCTCACGATTACGAGTCCGCGGCGGTAGCCTGACCACTAGGCCACCGATACCCCTGTTAAGGGGGGGGGGGGGTAGGTAGGTAGATAGATAGATAGATAGATAGATAGATAGATAGACGGGCAGGCAGTAGATAGCTAGCTACATAGCTAGACAGACGGGCAGGCAGTAGATAGATAGATAGACAATATAAAGATAGAGATAGAGAGATAGACAGAGATAGATTGCTTGATAGCTAGATAGGTAGACAGACAGACAGGCAGAGAAGTAGATAGATAGATAGATAGATAGATATATAGATAGATAGATAGATAGATAGATATATATATATACAGGTAGGTAGGCAGGCAGACAGGCAGATAAATAGAGTA